GTATATATATATATATATATATATATATATATATACACACACATATATATATATATATATATATATATGTTTGTATTTAACCACTAGCTTTGTTTTATTTCTTTCAGTGAGTGCAGATGAGGACTGCTTGTGGTATGTGGACAAAAATGGCACCTGGCACAATGGCTTTGATTGCCCACTCATAACCTTCTGCTGTGGGAACTGTCACCGCCGTTACTGCTGCCTGGATGGCTTCAAGATGATCACCGAGGCGGGACAGAAGCGCTGCATGCTGTTCCATCTCAGGTACACTTTTTAAGATTCTAGATTATTGACCACTTAGTGGCCTAAAGAGGCTCATTAACCTCACATTAGACTGCCAAATAAAACTAATTAAGTATAACTGTTATAAAATAAATGCTTAATCTTAATGGTGAAGGTGCTGATTGCTAGACCTAACAGCAAGCATTTTATTTTGCATTTATTCATTTAGCAGATGCTTTTATCCAAAGCGATTTTTCTGAGTTTCTCCCAGAGAAGTCGGATAATTCAAAATTGGTGTCTTTCCTGACAAGTTTTCTGTCCTGCCTCTCTCAGCCCTTCCACTATAGCTGGCATTGCTTCATCGATCCTGCTCTTTGTGGCTGCTATAGCAACCATGGTCTGTTGCTTCATGTGTTCCTGTTGTTATCTGTACCAGCGCCGCCAGCAACGTGGCAGAACTCCTTATGAAGGTAAACGCAATAACTTTATTCTCTTCACAGTCCATCCTGAATTTATTACAAATACATAAGAATGAATAAAAAAAAAACAAAGTAAATATCGGATTTTTTGCAGAGACACATGAAGGTATTATATGTAATATTTAGCATGTATCTGAATGCATTTTTATTTATTTATTTTTTTGCTGTTGGGTTGCATGATATACAACAACTATAAATACATCAAATCTTATATACAGTGCACTCACGTAAAGCTGGATATAATATCAAGCAAAACTCAATTGCTTGATTGTCTGTATCATCGAAAAATGTAAACTATTTTATAGTTGTATAAATAAAACATAAAGTAAATTATCGCACAACTCTATTTGTAAAGTTGGATATATAGTATATCCATTTTTTTCAGTATACACACAGAGCACTCACATTATATACTGTATATAGCAAATCGCAACTGCTTGATTGTTTGTATCATTGGAAAATGTAACTATATTATCTTCCAGCTCAAGTCTGCTAAATGTGGCTATAAGGCATGAAGTTATAAAGAATTATCATCGTGATTTTCTGTAAAGCTGCTTTGAAACAATGTGTATTGTGAAAAGCACTATATAAATAAATTTGACTTGATTTCTTATTTCTCTTTCTGGTATTACAGTTGCATTGCTCTTTGTTGGCATACTTATTTAACCACTGGTTTCTTATTGCAATACCATGGCTAATGTTCAAAATGTATCACCTACTAACCTGAGTCTCAATTTCAGCCCAGCATATTCCAATGGCCAGCTATCCTGTGGAGCACATGTACGATGCTTCTGGTAAACCCATTGGACATCCTGATTATCTTGGATATCCAATGGTGCTGCAATATCCAGGTGTCCCCCACCAGTATCCTATGATGCCCCAAGGTCCTCATCCTCCTAATCATCCTGACGCAGGATACAGTCAAGCAGGTATTCAAATGGCCTCTGTCAGAGATCACATACTACAAACAAAGGTCCCAAAAGGGGTTCTTCACAGCAATGCCATATATAGTTAATGCCATAACTATTTTTGGTTTTCCAAAGAGGCTTTCAGTGAACGGTTCTTAAAAGAACCATTTTTTCTTAGTGTGAAGAACGTTTTAATAATCTGAAGAACCTTTTTCAACTTTAAAGAACTTTTTGTGCAATGGAAAGTTTCCATGGATGTTATAGGTTCTTCATGGAACCATCAATTCCAATAAGAACCTTCATTTTTAAGAGTGTATAGTGGAAATAAAAACACCACACTTGCATATAGTAGCACAGACAATCATAACACTTTTCTCTAAGTTGTGTTATTTTTGTTTTCAGCTCCTCCGCCATATTCCCCTCCCCAGTACCCAGGGCACTGAAAGAGCTGAAGTCCCTCAGTGAGGAGAAGATAACCCATACAATGGGTGATGAAGAGGGCCCATGCTTGTGAGGAATCCCTTGTATGAGAAGCCGTTTTAAAAATGTTATTTATTTCTTGATTAATTTGTGGAGTGAAGCATGAACTGACCTCAGAATCGCCTCACGCGTCAGAGTGTTTTCTTGTTTGATGTACAGCTTTCATGTGTCACTAATCAGCGCGTCTCCTCCCACTTGAATCCAGCAACTCACAGACTCAAAAGACTGCTTTAAATGTGCCATTATGTTTTGTCCAACTCTCCGAAATGGACTGTTAAACATGACTCCTGCAGAAGAGACCGGCTGCCAGTTCTGATTCATCTAGGATATCGTTCTTTGTTCAACCAAATGAGAAGAAGCTTGTGTCATTTGCACTTTATTCTGCAATAGACATGCTTAGCTGTCTCTCCCGGCTCGTTTGTTCAAAATGTATTTATTTGACCACTAATCTGAGCGTGTCACTTGCATCATTAAAATCAAATCACGCTATATGCTTTTCATGTCTTATAGACAACTAACATACGGACATGAGACGTAGATGTCTTATAGACAGTTAACATGCAGTATGTAAATAAGAGAGAACTTACATTAAGAATTAATTTCATGTTTCATAGCATCCAACCAAACTTCATTCTGTGCATTTGCAGGTCGTCAACTGTTGTTAGATCTGGCTTGAGCTGTAATGTTAACACCCCTTAGATTTGCATGTCTTTAATTGTATCTCATGCTATGAAGGCCTGTTGTCAAGGGAATAACTGTAATGTTTGCATTCAATTAGCTGTCCGTCTGTGCATTTTAATTTGTTTCAAAAAGCTTTTTGATCTATAAAATATTTCAGTCATTTATGTTGTTTTGTTACACCTTCACAGTGAGATAAGTTTAAACAAAGTCCCTTTACTTTTCCCTCCAAATTCTGAAAAGGAAATCTGAATAGTGATATGAAAACTCAAAAAAAAAAAATTTGCAAGATATAAAAATCGAATTGTGAGATGAAAAGTTGCAATGGTGCGGTCATATTTACCATTGTTTAGTGAATTTTTGCAGGCAAAATTTTCAATGTAAATCCACGCATTCAGGAATTTCGCATGGGGGCATAAGATTTCCTTGAATCTTGGTTTGAAAGTGACTTCTGTGTGAGCTGTGCTTCATACATTGCTACACTACTGACAACAAACAACGGACCTTTTTTGCTCACAAATTTTTGCCGAAATTTCACTAATGCGACCACACATAAAGGTGGGACTTCCATTGCCGCCATATGGAGTGTTACAATTTTTCCCATTCATATTAACACGAGTGGACCTTAATTTCAAAGTTCATCATAAATGACACTTTTCAATGATAAATTAGAATGTAAATTAAAAGAACATTCTCATTAAAATGAGTATCCGCTTAAAATACTTCATCTGGTACATTTGGTACATTTACTTTTAAATGATTTCTGCTACCTCATCTCATATTTGTAAGATTAGTTGTGATGCTTTGTTCATTGTTTAAATAACTTGTTAGTTATTTAAATTAATGTATCGTTAACAGTGTTGTTTTTGCTATATACAGCATATGCTACTGTATTTGTCACTTTGGAATGTGAAGTACAAATAAGAAAAGGATCTATAAAGAGGAATTTTTACAATGTGGAATATTAACAGGTATTTTCAACTTGGGGGAAAAGGCAATTAATAGGCTACTAGTGTTTGTACTTGCACTAATCATCCTATAAGAAAGGTCTAATTGAACAGACTGGACAAGGAGTATTGCATTACTCTCTTTTTACAATAAAAACAGAATTGACTTTGCATGCTGTCTCCATTAATGCAGTTCCTGAAATCAGCATTTTCCTATTGTCATTATTTAATGCTGCCTTATTTTTACACATCAACATTTTGTAATATATCAAAAATATTTTATAATATGCCACAAAATAACTAGTGTTTTGTTAAAAAACAGTTGATAGCTATTAAAAAGTAGGCTGAGCAAGACCAAAATAAATAAAAATGTGTAGACTGGCTTGCTTCTATTTACTAGGATGAAACATCACTTCAAATGTATGAATAGCCAAGGCTATTCTATTGAACCACATTAAACTGATTCCTGGAATAGCACAGCAGCCTATTATAGTATCCAACATATTTCTATAACATTCTATAACATCACTGGAAAAATGTTGTCAGTACTCCAGGAATCCTGATTTCCTTAGTGACCAGGAAGTAACAGTTTGTTTCTGGGATGCTTTTGGGTTTTAGTAAACCATAGCCTTCCCAATTGCCTTTAAAGGACTATGTACCCCCATCTAAATATGGGCATGCGCTCGCGATGGATTTCAAGGAATGTCCGAGCACCACAAACTTGCGCTGACAGTCCATCGCGTCTCGCGCTGCTCTACGCGAATCTTTCACATCCAGAAAGTTTCATCCTCCTTCGTTTTAAATTTTAACTGTTGATGAACAGTTTTTTAAAAAGGTTAAGTACGTGGAAAAACACGGTGATATCTTCAGCGAATTCTATATTACTCTGTATCACTACTGAACGCAATGTCCCGGAGGAAAGTGAGGGGACTCACGAAAACCGGGCGACAGGTGAGCGAGGACCCGGACCTCGACAGTTTACTGTCAAACCTGTCGCCCGAAGAAATGGAGGAGCTGCAGAAAGAGGTTTCCGTCGTTCCTGATCCAGATCCGAGTGAAATAATCGTTGTGGACCAAACGGATTTAAAACCAACCGCGCCACTTAAAAAGGAATCACAACAAAGCAGCCAGACCGATGACTTCAGATCCCGCTTACAGAGGAACCTGTCAACAGAGGTAAAATATTCACTACCTTACAAGTTCATCTATGAAAATGTTAATGACTGAGTTTGAACCAACATGCTTAATGCAGTAGGAGCTTGAAATACATGCAAAACAAATCAATACAAATAATGTGGTTTTCTGGGCAAATATTTCCAAGTTCTAGGGTATTGACAGATTTTTTCAATATAGATTTAGGCCTATATCATTTTAGAACTCTTGTATGTCTTTAGCGAAAGTCACCATATTTTTACATCTTGCACATATTTGTACAACTTTTACAAATTACTTTAAATGTAAAAGGGGTGATGGGCATAAATGTTTACTTTTTGAGGCATGATACAAACAGGAGAAATAACCCTCCTAAGATATATCTAAAGGAGATATATCTATCTTTGGATGTTAAGTCTCTTGAAATGTTGGCCCGGTTGAAGTTCCGTGGTTGATTGCTCCTTTGCTCACTGCCTTTTAAGGATAAGTCTGCCAAGGCTGGAGCTTTCCAATGCAAAACAGCGTGGGTCACAAATCAAACACTCAGCCACTGTGCAAGTTTACATCTTCACTGTGAAACATCCAGTGTAAACATTCAGTGTTCATGCATTACAGGTTTTGTATAACCATCTGTGTCGAAGCACTGTCTTCAGTTGAACATTTTAATATTGATATGTAGGCCTAAGCTACTGGCATTTCCTCCAGTCGGCTCCCCCAAAACAAAAAAAAATATAACATATGTTGCATATGTCACCTTGTTTGTCCATAATTCATACATGTTGAATCCTCAGGGAGAGCCGAAGAAGGAGAGCCGGAAGCAAGAGTACCTGCGTAAGATGGGCCTGAGCCAAGAGAAGAATACCTCCGTGTCTGACAGCAAAGATGGAGGGCTTCAGAGGACCCCCTTCACCTCTTCTTTCTCTAAGCGTGATGGTAGAAAGGAGGACAGGACCCGCAGAGTCACAGAGGGCAGCAAAGATGACAAATTTGGCCCATATGCCCTTTCTAGGAAGGACGAGGAGAGTGAGAAGCAAGAGGAGGTGAAGGAACAAAATGATGGGAGTAAATTCAAAGATAGAAGAGAGATGAGAGAAAGTAGCAGCAGCAAAACCAAAGAATTAATATCCAAGCTTCAGGAGAAGAAGGAGGATAGTAAAGAGAAAAACCGGAAGGAAGACAGTTGTAAAAGGGAATCTGGGGAAAGTAGAGCAAAGGCGATGATTTCTAGGATAAAGGACAAAGAGGAGAAGGAAAGGGAGAGAAAGGAAGAGATTAGGAAGAGAGAGGAAATCAAAACTAAAGGCTATACAAACAGGTTAGAGGAAAAGCAAAATCAGGTTCTAGAAGACAAAACGAAAGAAGAGAAGAAATTCAAAGAAGAAAACCAAATAAGAAGGTTAAGCGAAAAGGTGAAAAAGAGCCCTATGTTGGAAGTAAAGGAACTTCCTGAAAATAAAGAGAAAGAACCGGAAAAAACTTATGAAAATGTGTGGAAGCCACAAGAATATAATGCAAAATCAAGCAATAAGGGAAGAGGGGATGTTCAGAAACAAAATGAAATTGAAAATGAAGTTCATGAACCCATTAATAAGCAAGAGAAAATTGGAAACTGTGTCTCAGATATTATTTCAAAAAGTAAGACAAAAGAGGAGGAAGAGGAGGATGAGTCGGCTAGCATGTTTGATGAAGATTTGGAGAGAGTTCGTTGCAACGATCCGAGCATGACTGATCTCAATGTGAACAATTCAGAGGTCATAAAAACCAAAACACTTATTCAGTTCGCAGAGGCCTTAAAAAACAACACACACATCAAAGTGTTTTCTTTGGCTAACTGCCGTGCCGATGACCACGTGGCTTATGCTATTGCCGAGACCTTACGAAATAACAAAAGCATCACTAGCATCAATTTGGACTCCAATCTTCTTACTAGCAAAGGTGTTATGTCCTTGATCCATGCCCTCCAACACAACTCCACACTCACCGAGTTACGCTTCCACAACCAGCGACACATCATTGGAGGAAAGTCTGAGATGGAGATGACCAAAATCTTGAAAGAAAACACGACTCTTCTGAAACTGGGCTACCACTTTGAGTTAGCTGGTCCTCGTATGACCATGACCAATATTCTTAGTCGCAATATGGACCGTCAGCGGCAAAAGCGACTGCAGGAACAGAAGCAGGCACAAGCCCAAGGCATTGGAGATAAGAAAGACACATTAGAAGTTCCAAAACCCGGCTTTGGTAAAGGCTCCCCGAAAGCTTCGCCTAGACCGTCTCCTATAACTTCTCCCATACCGTCACCCGCCCCGTCACCCAAGTTGACTCATAAGAAAAGGGTCAGTGGGCTTGGTGGTGGACCACCTCCGCCACCACCACCACCTGGAGGACCACCACCGCCTCCACCTCCAATGCTAGACGGAGACTTCCTGAAGAACTCCCTGACGCCCATGTCACAAAGGAAGCTAGACGATAGGAGAGTAGGAAGAGGAGGAGCTAAAAACTCAAGGGACCAACTTCTGGCTTCCATTAGAGGCAGCAATATAAAACAGCTCAAAAAGGTAGGAAATTATATTTTTTTAAATGCAATTATATAAATAATATAAATTTTAAATTGTAGATGATATATTTGTAGATAATAGTAAAAATGATTTCATATGTAAATAAAAATGCACATATGCATTTTATAT